CTCCTCAGCAAAAGCCCTTTTAAAACCCCAACGGTGCACTGGCGGTTTTTTTGGGTGCTGATGGTTTGAGGCCGCGGTGCTTCTTTCCCTCCTTCCCAGGGGAGCACCGCGCCGTATTTTTCTGCATCCAACCTTTGATCTCCCAAATCCTACCGGAGCGTTGGCGGGACGGGAGGTCGCTGTGCCGAGATGCTTCGTGGATGATTCAGTAAGTGTTTTTATTTTTTTGTATCCCGTTTAAACCCCCAACAAGGTTATTCTTCTTAAACAACGCCAGGGTTTTGCCAGCGGTTTGGCATTTTGCTGTGGGTTTTGCAACTGGTGCCCACCAGCAGCCCATGGGCCCGGGTCCCCAGATTGCAAATGCATCACAACTTGTAATTGCATCGCATATTGCAAATGCAGCCCATGTTGCAAATGCAGCCCATCCTGGTGGGCCTGGGCGGGACAGCACAGGGACAGCAAAAACGAAGCTGCTAGAGAGGATCAGGGCAAATGCACGTGTCTTCCCTTCCTGCAAAATCCCTCACTGTGATAAAGGGAATCTTCTCCTGGCAAAAAAAAATCTGCAATAAGGAGAGTGAGCACGTCTTCCCTCCTGCAAAAAACCCAAATCTCTTTTTTTGAGATGAAGTGCGTCTTCCCCCTGCAATAAAACTTTCTTTGCAAGAAGGCGAGTGAGGGCACCTCCCACAAAAATCTTTGCAACAAGGGGAAGGAGCACGCCTTGCCTTGGCAAAAACTCTGTGCGATAACAGGAATACGTGCATTTATTTATCGGGGGGGAAAAAACACTTTGCAATAAGGCAACACGTGCATTTGGGGGGGAACTCGCTTTGCAATAAGGCAACACATGCAATTGGGGAACAATGACCCCTCTTTGCAATAAGGCAATATGCGCATTTGGGGGGGGACAGGACCCTCTGCAATAAGGCAATAGGTGCATTTTGGGGGACACACACCCCCCTCTTTGCAATAAGGCAATACGTGCATTTTTTGGGGGGGGACCCTCTTAGCCAGACGCAATATGTGCATTTCTTTCTTGGGGCAAAACCCCCTCTGCAACGCGGGGAGCAAGTGCAACTTTGCTCTTGCAAAAAAAAAAAAAAAAATTCAAACCAAAATAATTCTTTGCAACAAGGTCTGCATTTTCCTTTGCAAAACCCAAATCCCTGAGCCAGCGGGGGAATCCCTTCGCGTGCTCTCGCCCTCCCCGAGTCTTCCTGTCCTAAAGATGGAGCTGTGCGAGCCGAGCTGGACTTTGCAGCCTCTTCCTCTCCAAAGCAGGATGATTTTTTTTTTTTTCCCCCTTTCCTGCCCATACATGTGTTTCTGTTTTGTATTGTAGCGTTTGTTCGGGCGGCTCATATTTACATTTTAAGTGCATCTGGTGGGTGGGCGCTAAGGGAGGAAAGGGGAAAAAAAAAAAAATTACCTCCTTTTTTCTGCAACAGGAAACACCACCAAAAATATTGCAAAGGCCCCGAGTTGTTGCTTTCTTTATGCTGCACCCTTCGCCCTAAAATCAGGTTTGCAATTGGGGGG